AATGGTGCGCAGGGGCGGATTCAAAATTTCTTCAGGGGGTGAGGGAGGGCACGCAATATTGCGCGGACCCCTAGAGTTAGGGCCCTTCCAAAAAATCCTCGCATTCCGGCCATCAAATTCTCAGATTTGTTATATGTCACTGTCCATACCGAAACCCATCTTACTGTGCGCAACCCTAGAAAACTAGGCGCACTACACATGCGCATACATGGACTTGTTCATTTTCTCCAGATCATGGTGAATCCTCCCATTCTGAATGCTATTTTTTCGAAAAGCATGACAAAATAAACTTAAGTTGGCTGGCAAATGTCCTTAAAATAAAAAACGAACTTGATTCCTCGATTATTTTCGCTGGCCGGCTAGTTGATGTAGTGCCTTGCTGGCTGATGAATGATACAGAGTTTTTGCTCTGCTGTGAAGGAGGATGAAATATGCTAGCATTTAAAATGCATCAAGAACGTAATGCATGGGTATAATAGGTGTCACAAGTTCGAAAACAAACGGATATGACACATACGACTTTGGCAGCACGGCAAATTATCTCCGACAATTGGGCGTAACAATTCATCGGCGCATATCCGACCGCTGCTCTAAGGCTAAGTCACCACGGCCGGTAGGGACGGAACCTGAACAATCGTGGATGCCGTGGCAGGCCACCAAAGAGCCTTCCATCAACAAGTGTAGGGTCCTCCGAGCAAGCGAAAAGAACGCAAGACCAACGGCGTATGCCCCTGGACGATCGGGAGTGCTCCGGCAGACTGGCATAGGACCCCGGCCAGCGCACAGGGTCCTCTGAGTAAATGGGGAGCCAAAGCCAATTACCTTAAATTAAAGGGAATGTTTCACATTTAAATGTATATTGAAGCAAGCGTCACGTATGATGCAACAAGCTCGCTTACGAGTATTGGTATACTTAGGGCACAAAGGGGTGGTCGAAGTCTTTTTCAGGGGCCTCGGCCTGCGAAGACGGGCCCTCAAATAACGGTCAGAGGGCCCTTCGCGTCGATTGGGGACCCCCTGAGTTGATATGGGTCTTTATATCGGTCAGATACCACCAGTAACACCCAGTCGACTCCGCGTCGGTATACGCCTGAGGGCCCACTTCCCAATCAGTTGTAAAGCCGGGACCAGTGATTTACACTGGTCGGGGTCTTGTACCGGTCAGGGGCCCACAGCGCCTAAAATGGAGCCTTGTGCTCGCAGGGGGTTCCAAGCCGACCAAGGGAATGTTTGATGAGGCCCGAAGAGGGACCCGGGCAGCCCACCAGAACCGATGATCAAAGGTGAGGGCGCGAAGTACTGACTGTAGGTCACACAAGGAATCATCGCCCGTAAGGTCGTGAACTGAAATATCAATGAGAGGTCCCCTTGCACCGTTTCAGGAACCCCTGAGACAACGCGGGTGTCTAAGTCGGTTAGAGACTACGAACGCCGAGCAGACGGCTCCATGTCCGTCTGAGCCCCTGAACCCTTGAACCCACAATGCCTGACAGGCGTCCTGTATCGGCAAGAGGCCCCAAGTCGAAGCGTTGGAAGCGTTGGTTGAGGGGGCCCGAAGAGGGGCCGAAGGGTTTCTCGAGACCAAAGATCAGAGGGTCAATGGGATAGCTGAAGGGTCCGAATGGCTGTCTGTAGGTCATATCAAGGACCCTTGCCCAAAGGCCGTGATACCAAATATCAGTAGGATGAGCTCCCGCACCGATAGGGACCCCTGGGACAGAGCGTTCCTCTTTTTCGGCCGGACATCACGAACAACGAGCAGTCGGCTCCGTGTTGGTCTGAGCTCTGGGTGCCCATCCTCCAAGCAGGGACAAGGCCGGGCCCGCGATTTATATCGGTCGGGCTCCTGTGTCGTTCAGGGGCCCATAGTGCCTAGCAGGGCATTCTGTGTAACAAGAGGCCTCGAATTGGTCGGGGAAAGATTTGCTCAACAGGAACGGGGACGGGAGCCCGAAGCCAGAGGGTCTCCGCGTCGGTCGGGGCCCTCTGGCCATTTAAGGATACATAAGATGATTGCTCACATCAGGCAACAAAACAGCCCTGTGCCAGTCAGGGCCCCCAGTGGCGAACGGTGGGCCCTCCATTCCATTCCTAACAAGATCTGTAAAATCATCGCCGGCTCTCAAACTGGGAAATAACTGAGAGCAGTGGCGGAGTTTAACAAAATGAGTTGGGGAGAGGCTGAACAGCGAAAAATAACTAAAGCCTATCTGCAAAATGCACCAACTGACGGGTTGCTCTCCTGATCTGAACCAGTCCATTCTCAAAGTTGTGCGGTTAGAACCTAACATGGGGGAGGGGGGCTGATACCCCTCAACTGCGGAGGAAATTACGACCTTGCGCGAGCAATAAGAGTGGAAATCGCAACAAAGTACTCGTCGCACACCTGAGTTTAAAAACTGGGGCCGGTCGGAACGAGACAGCACAGCCTTTGTTCACGAACGTGGAAATCTTTCCAGCGATGTGTCTTCCAACGTGTGCATTACGTTCACGTGATCACGTGATCACCTGCAGTGTTGTGCCGTCCATGGACAGCCTTGACCTGTCGCTAATGCGGCAACGCGATGACGCGTACCGAGTATAGCGCGAATCTTGGGCCGAAACCGACCTAATCGGCCTACCGACTTCTTCGAAGCCACGTGAAAGTAAACCACTTTGCGAGGTCGAGACGTAGTTTTTTCGTGCGATGCCGTGCTCACCGACCGTGCTGGGAAAAGCTTCGCTTTCAAGCCCGCGAAGGGAGGAGAGGGTGTCAGTGAAAACCTGCCCGAAAAGGCCGACGACGACCGACGCTTCGCTTCCGTCGGCCCACGCATCGCTGTCCGAACTCGCTGCGAGTAGTCTTGACGGCCCCGTCATCCACCCAAGCCGCCGTTGTATGACCACTGCCAGCCTAAGACTGCGTCCTACGACTGCCCGAACTATCGAGGGCTATGAACGAACCGCTATCATCCGGGGTAGTGATGACATGCCATGACGGCGTGCAACTGCATGCGCTGTGTAAATGTTTCCCTGCACCGGACCACATTTGCTCTATATAACCGACACCTCTGTTGCTTCTTGCATTTGTCTTGATTCGTGGAACGTTGCCTCTGTCATACGTCTTCACAAATCTGGCCCTCGTGACGTCGGTAGTAACTTCAGACCAACATCATTTCTTCCATCTCTTACCACAAACAATTCTAGCCTCATCACAGTACGCTTGCAGACCTTGTCACTCAACAGAGGATGTCCTGGTCGAAGCCGTTGATTGGGCGGTACGTCGGATTGACGTGGGTCACACCGTCGCCGTCACCTCCACTGATCTCAGGTGTGCTTTTGACAGTGCTGACCACAGCGTCCTTTTGACAAAGCTGTAGTGGCAGGAAATCGATCCGAGCTAGGTTGTTTGAGAGTGCCTTGCTGATCGGCGGCAGGCAATAAGAGACGGTTGCCTCTCTCTTCTGCTGACTCACGGCGTCCCTCAGGGATCCTCGAGCCGCCCGATCCTCATCAGTATCTTCACGAAAGACCTTTCATCTAACCTCTCTCAGAGACGTCTAGGTTGCATGCTGGACTACGCTTATCCAGACCATCTATTCATTCTGAAATCCCGACAGGAAGAAACCATTCAAACGATGTAACCCTACGTCACATCCTATTCCCTTAAGATGAATCCCACACAAACAACGCTTCTCCCTCTTTCTATCATTCTCCTTCTCTTGACCTATCCTCTGTCCCATCCTCTCTACAATCCTCGCACTAAACCTCATATTTTCACTTTCACATTGGGACACAAATTGTTCAGAGCCCTTCGTCGTCCGTGAAGATGCGGGAGGTCACTACTGAAGACACCATTTCCTGGGAGATGCATATGTGCCATGTTGTCAGAGTGCAACTCCCTCCTTTTCTAATCGCATAAAATTCGTCATCACTTTACGGCAGAGGCTCGAAAGCTTCTCACCCAGTCCCTTGTTTTCCCCCATCTTCTGCACCGCCTCTAGGTCTGACGTGGGGCTGCACCATCCGACCTAAACAGAGTGCAAGGAGTGACAAAGCATTGGGTCAAGATCGTTCCTCTCTATGCTCAGGGCCCTTAATGATGCGCGGGCTCCGGTGTTGATCCTGAAACCATTCACCACACGTACCGCTGCACGCCAGCGCGCCACCCGGGCGATACCAGATGTCCTCGTTCGTCTGTCGGTGACAAGCAGGGCCTTTTCGTATCGCGCGGCCTCTTCCTAGGGCCGTCTGCCGCCGACCATCTCTGCCTCTCGTATACGCAAGGAGCCTTGCAATAGACTGGACGATGTCGATCGACCGACTCCTTACGCAACATTGCTTGCTTGCCGTTGTGCAACAGGTTTTGACGGATGATTTTGCTTTTGACGTTGTGCGAATACTTAGAAGGGAAGCCAGAACAACATGACTGATAATGCAGGAATGTGTTCGTGTTGTTGCCGGTTTCAATTTCGCACTCATCCTACTGCTGTAATAGCACCGAATCAAAGCCACTCGTTGGAAGGATTCGTGAATAAAATGAGAATGAACATGAACACGTGCTGAAGTTTTGGACATGCGACATCTGACATGCGGTGACCACGCAGTGTCTGACACGCGGTGACACCGCGGTATCTGACACGCGGTGACCTCGCGGTATCTGACACGCGGTGACCTTGCGATATCTGACATGCGATGACCTCGCGGTATCTGACACGCGGTGACCCCGCGGTATCTGACACGCGGTGACCCCGCGGTATCTGACACGCGGTGACCTCGCGATATCTGACATGCGGTGACCTCGCGGTATCTGACACGCGGTGACCCCGTGGTATCTCCAAGACGGAAATCATCAAATACAAATGCAAATGGTAATCTGTAGCCTGAAGTAACGAGCTGCCCCAAACTCTGGGAGCAAAATGGTCCAAATCCGGGTGGAAGGCAATGTTGGGCGTATTTCTGGGATAGGTTTCATCATTTTCTCTGTCCTTCCTCCATCCACGTATGGTATCTGTAACAAGTTCATTAAGACGTATTTATTACCATATGTTCCACAGAAAAGCGGACGTTTGAACAGCCGCACCCAGGACAACGCTCTCGAGCCACACATTTATCACCTCATGTAGGGGTATGCACCACAGAACGGAGGAATGTTTTGTCCATCGTAGCTACAACCCCGTTAAGACATGCATCTTGCTTCCCACGGACCAAATAATGGCGCATGCTAGCATACCGAGGCACGCACCACCCGTCGTCAGACAACCGCACTTACAAAAATACCTTCGGTCACCAGTTGCAATACCGCACGGCCCATATCACGGTGGTGATCCAGCGATAGATCAGGCGAAGCCCATCCCCAACAATCGTCACGCGGCCTAGAACATCACATAAACCGTGCGCTTGTCCAGCCAGCTTGGTTCGGCATGATACAATATAAATATAAAGACGAAACTTATCAGTATACGTACGCATTCATCGAGCCGCCCCAAACGTAACTCCGCACGAACATACCCAAGGTGTTTTCATCGGATGGAGAGACAGGTTGTAATATAAGAATCGACGCTTTCCTTAACAGACAGAGGGCAGCGTACACCCAGCAAAAACACCCTTCAGCAACGACGGCACCCAACGCTGCATTCAAAGTCGGCACTCAGTCCACGGAAGCCAAGAAGTTGAACAAGACAAGACTTGTGATATGTGGCAAGAACACTGTGAGCCGTGGTCGGTGGCGTTCTCCAAGACGACTGCACCAACACACCCCATCACCTGTCCGATCTGTGCCGTTTGTACTGCGGAAGATCCGGCGAGGGCGGCGGTCTCTGGGGGCCGCCGGGCGGCGCCCCCGACACGGGCCGTCGCCCGCGACGGTCGGCCTCAGCAGGGCGGTCCCCGGCCGGACCGGGACGAGCCGAGCCGCGGGCTTGGACATTACAGCCCACAGGCCGCGTCCGGCACGGGCCCGGCCTCAGTGCGTGTGCTCGTGCCGGGAGACAGGCCGTCCGGTGCCCGCGTGGCGGAGAGGCAGAGTGGCTGGCGGGGCGCAGCCGGTGGCGGTCTCCTCAGAAGTGGAACGGCAGCGTCTCCATGGCGTCCTCGTACGAGCGCGACAGGCTCACCACCTGCGAAAGGCGGAGAACTAGCAGAGACGGCCGGCGGGCTGCTGGATGACCGCAGCGCGGACAGCCGCCCACGCACGGCGAAAGCGGCAACTCACGGCACACACCACACCGGCGCAGCGAGGAGCTCTGGACCGAGGCGCACGTGGCCAGACAGGCCGGCACCACGCCGCGCCCGCCGCTGTGTGGGCGGCCCGCATGGGAACACGCGGACGTGCAGCTCGGAGCTGTCGAGGGTTCCCTCATCCCCGGGTTACCGCTTTAAACCGCGACACAATCTCAGAATTTCGACAAACGTGCATTCCGGCCCACAACCGGTGCCAAGAGTTGCAAACCGGTAACTAAACCGTTGACATATGGGGGGAATACATCTTCGACTTATTTCGGTGGCATTTCACTTAAGCGCGTCTGTTGGAAAACTTGGGGAGAGTTCACGACGAAGTTTGGGCAGCCCGCATCCAAAGAACAAATTATACGTTCACCATATGAAAAGCAGGTGATCTGTATAGAGCTGTAAATTTAGAGGTGCACGGATGTTCTGGAAAAGCGCATGTTCGGGGGGGGGGGGAGCGTGAAAGGGGGTTGACAGACGGCGCAGGTTGGGCGTCCAGCACACACAGTCACATGCGGGCGCCATAAAGCTCAAAACAAGGCGCAAACGTAGGACAACAATGCCAATGTCCTACAACCATATAACAGGGAGGAAATGAAACTGAAGCACCTCCTGGGTGCGAAACGCTTGAAAAGCACGGAACGAAAGAGACCAACACCCCGCGTCAAATTGACATCAAGGTCACGTGAATCTAACATGCAGTAAGCACAGTAACACATCACTACACACGTCTACGTCCTAAAGGTCACAACAGGCAGTACACGCATCACGATCTTCTTTTTTCCCACGCTGACGGCTGTCAAAACAATGCACGAAGAAAACGCCGGATAAAAATGGGAATGGTTTATTTGACACCTTTCAACAGGGCAACACGAGCCGCAACAAGTCATGGCGCTCAAACGCTGTCTAGATTAAATAAGGTCCTAATACACAACATGGGTGCGTAAATAAATGTAAAAAGGTCCGACATGCACGTGGCAGCCGCCCGGACCAGCCGCCGCACGTACGGACAAGTGCGCGGACACACGGGTGGTATCGATACTACTGCGCTGTCCCGTGCACAGCATGCCTTTGAGCCACTTTGCTGCCATCGACTGGCGGCCCCCAAGAAAACAACAGCTCGAAAGTCCGGCATCCCAACGATCGCCAACCACTGGCGCCAGAGCCACACCTCGCCGAGTGCTCAACAGCTGCCATCTACCCGCCCCCCCCTTCCCCCACAGCTGAGGGGCCCCCTGGGCGCGGGGCTGCCTGAGCCCGCGGCTGCCGCTCGCGCCGCGGGACGCCCGACACTCCCAGGGACACCGCCGCTGACCCCGCACGGAACAGCTCCAGCCTCTGAACACCACCGGACCCCGCCGCGGACCGGTCTGGACGCAGGACAGCCCCCCCCCCCCCGTGGTACAGGGACAAGACAACATCTCTACGTGCCTGGCCTAGTCTGGCGATAGGACGGCCTAGTCCGGACTCTCGCTCCACAACTTAGCTACGCAACGAACGTGTCTGAGCACAGGATAGTCTCACAACCCGGGGCCGCAACCTGGGTACGCCCGGCCGACCATCGGAAGCTCCTATATCTCTGACCACAACCGAACTACGCCACGCCTACAGCCTGGGCCCGCGGCCGGGCCGCACCGGGCGGCGGGCCGCGGGCCGGCGACCGCGGCCGTCACGCTACGATCATCTGGTCGTCGGCCATCAGGTCGCAGGAGGCGTGCGCGTCCGGCGGCGCGGCGCGCGTCGCGGCGGCGCCGGCGGCCGGAGCGCGCGGCGTGCCCGCCACCTGCAACAGACGCCGCCGCTCAGTACCGGCGGGCGCCGGCGGGCCCGCGTGGGCAGCGGCCGGCCGACGGCGCGCCACCGAGGCCGCCCCGATGACACGCCCCACTGCGGCCAGACGTGACGCGTTGGCGACGAGCAGCACACCCAGTGAAATGCTGTACAGCCGACGCCGAACCAAAACATATTGAGGAACATTATCAAAGGTCCATAATCTTTTTTCTAAGTGCCCAACAATATGCAATGTATCATCTATCTTTTTGCCCGACGATAGACCTTCCAGATGCCCTATTTATGCGGGTTAGAATCTAATGTGGGCCCTTCTAATATGGGCCCTTAGAGAAACCAGTGCTCTATGCTGGCGCAAACATGAGGCAGTGCTCACGCCATGGGGCTTCTACACGGTCAGTTGGAAGATATGCATATTGTTTTGAGTTCCTTTGGGGTTTAAAAGCTGTTTTTTTGGAACCAAACCCCTCTTTTAAAAGCCAAATTACCAGGCCTTTTTTGGGACCCATTCTTCACATATTGTGGGACATGATAAAACAAAAACGCTCACGCCAGCTTTTCATATACTTCTCCCAGGAAAACCTCTTTAGAATCCAATTTGGACAATCACCAGGACGCAAACCCAAAACGACCCCGTCAGCTAGTCTACGCACCCCTCAAACGCCATCGACAAAAGCGTGCGCGGCCACAAAGCGGCCCATGCCCGCGCGCCAGCGGCTCCGGCCGGCAGGTCGCAGCCACCTACCGTTGCGCGCGCGGCGTCGCCAGCGTCGCCGGCCGCCCGGTCGGGATGGCGCCGCTGCCGCCGCCGTCGCCGCCGTCGCCGGGCCGCCCTGCCGACGTCGGCCCGCGCCGCCGGCCGTCACAGAGGCGCGGCGCGAACACCACTGGGGAGCGGGACACGACAGGGGGCGGGCGCCAGCGGCGCCGGACGTACCTTGGGCCGGCCGCGGTACGTGTTGACGGCGTCGATGGGCACCTTGATATAGTCCACCTCGCAGCCGTACGCCGTCGGCTTCAGCTTGATGATGGTGTGCAGCGGCACGTGCAGGTAGGGCAGCTCCTCTGCCGGGGCGGCGGTGCGTCAGTGCGTGCGCAACGCTCGCCGCACTGGTACGCGGGACAGGCGCGCCTGCAGAGCACGCGGCCTCGCAACGATTGAGCACCGCACGCAACACGAGCACGACACACAACTTCCTGTTGACAAGACACTCGACGGTCAGTTCGGCAACACAATGTCCAGCACATCAAACCGCTACCCCTCGTCACACGTCCCACAGCCGGCGGCTGAACGGCGTGCCGTGCCGCCGCGCCGCGCCACGAACCTGCCGGCTTGTCGAGGAAGTAGGCCAGCAGGCAGCGCAGCACCGCCTGGTGGCCGATCACCAGCACGTTCTCCTGCCGCTCCAACTCCATGATGACCGGCTCCAGCCGCGCCACCAGGTCCTCGTAGCTCTCGCCGCGCGGGTACCGGTACCTGACACCAGGCGGCGCGCGCAGCACGTCAGGCGGGTGGACGGTGGTACGCCGTCGGGCATGGCGAACTGTCATGACATACAAATGGGGAGAATGCCAAGCACATAGCTTGACGACCGATTGAAAACAAACGTGCTTCACGTGTGACATTTAAGCGCCTTGACAACAAACCCGAATGAGGTCCGACAAAGCTTTATGGGGCTCCTATTCACATGCCTTGCTTCAGAGTTGACCTTTTGACCGTGTGACTGCGGGAGGGACGACATCTGGCGGACACAGTGCAAAAATCTGGCTGGACCAACGTTCTCATGGTCCCCGACGGGATGGTCTGCGCGCAACGCTTCTTGAACAAGAGACGCCTCTAATAGAGACGCATTGGGATACGTTTATGTCCCACATTTCGGCTCGCACGCAGACGAAAATACACCTCATATTTCCGTCCACGGAAACTCAGAGGATACGCCTTCATACGCTTCTTCCTAATAACGTATATCCCCACCAGATGACGTAATGAGAAAACACCGCATCGGTCCTGAGAGAGCGTCACGTGCCCCAGCCGATCGATGCGGGACAGGAGACCCGGCCTCCGTCCCCACTCACCGGAGTTTGTCCTGGTCGCGGGCGGCGAAGTCCACGGGGAACTTCTCCTGGATCTCCTCGTACGTCATCTCCTCGCAGGTGCCGGCGTTGATCTCGTCCAGCGTCTTCCAGCGCTCCTGCGGCGCGCGGATGTGCTGCGCCGTCTGGATGGTGCGCAGCATCCAGCTGGTCCACACGTGCAGGCCATCTATCTTCTGCCGGACGCGGGGCACGGGCGGACCGTCAGCGCCAGCGCGCAGCCGGCCGCGCCCGGCGGCCACACCGCACGGACAAGGACGCGCGCGCAACGGAGACCATGCCAGCAGCCGCTAATTCATACTCAGCGCTTGGCCAGAGTTCAATGAAGGCAAAGCTGGGGTGTCTTTCGCCACACAACAGTCGAGCTTATGGTCACTGTCAGCCGCGCTGTTCACGAACGACCCGTGACTGCACTGCCCAGGGCTGTACCCGTCACGGACCTTCCGTGTCGTACATTTCACCACTATTTCAACGACGTGCTGGCGGCGGTGGTGGCCATCCAGCGGATCACATGTTCGTCACGCGACCCGGGCATGTGACGCCGCCGCTATAAAGGTCACCTCAATACAAGGCGCGGCGCGGGGCCCTTATGGAGGCCTCCTGGACTATTTTTTTCTCGCGGCGCCGGCACCAAACTCACACGGGTCGGTTGCAGCCGTTTGGTCGTGCTCAGCGTTGAGTGAATATGAGTTTGACAGTTTAAATTCATCCAATCAAGTCCAACTGCTGGTGCAGACACCGTGAACGCCGCTTCCATGAACTAGCAGTCCGATCAAAAAGTGACCGCGCTGAACCACTCTAACGCGCAAATTGACCTATTCGTTCATAATGTGACCCCAGTGCACCACTTACAACCGGCACGCAGCGTGTACCGGGCCGCCAATGACGCGCGCTCGTTTGCAGTTGAACTAGACAGGTTGGCGGTCAGCGCTCATAGCAGCGCCGCCAGCGACAGCCGGCGCCACAGGGGCGGCCGCCGGGTCAGCCACACCCACCTGGTCGTGGATGTAGTTGGCCAGCGCCTCGGAGTACCGCTCTCCGCGCACCGACAGGCGCGAGTTGCCGCCGATCTTGCCCAGCTGGTTGTACTCGGACTCGCCGTGCTGTTGATAGGTCCCAGGGGTCAGACGGCGGTCGTGAGGTCAGCGCCAGGTCACGACGACGGCAAGTGGACGCCAGGGGAACAGCGCACGGTTAGCTGGGCATCGGGAGAAGGCTAGATAAGGGTCCAGGATCGCACAAATGGTCTCTGTCCAGCGAGGCGGTGTCACTAGGCACGGGCGGGACGGGCGTTCACCATACCGTCCACATTACAAAGACCACACAAAAACACCCACCCACAAACGCAGCAGAACTGACGGTCACAGCCGTCCAGTGTGACGACCAGTGATCTCTCAGAGGCCCCACAACACAAGCGCGGGCTCCGGCATCTCGTGCCGACAACGCAAACTAGCGGAGCTGCACCGACCGGTCTTCTCTTGAACAGTGGCCACACATAGAGAAGCGCACCGTACGATAACCCCACGCTCCCCAGTGAGCGGCGACCGGCGGTGGCCCCGGCGCCGTCGGCTCACCCGGGTCAGGTAGATGGTGCGCGGCATGATGTGGATGTTCATCAGGTAGTACACGATGCGAGCCTGCAGGTGGCCCTCGTGCTTGTGCACCAGCACCTTCTCGCCTGGGGTCAACACGGCGACCGGTCAGGGCGGCGTCCAGCGCCTGTCGGGCCGCGCGGCACCGCTCACAGGCACATACGTGGACGGCTCGCCGTTAACGACGATGAGCCGCTACCACCGGCCCAGCCACGCAAGGCCAGGCCGGTCCCAAAAAGGGTGGCTCGCCTACGCTACACTCGTGACCATACGCATAAATGAACAACACTGATGGCAAGAGGCAAGGCGCGGGTTAGAGCGGATTCACAGTTACCATTCGTATACAGCCAACTCCATGTCACACTCCGTGTGCCGTATTAGCCATAGCCCCAGCCCACATCACACACTGGATTGCACAGAACAGGCAACCGACGCCGTAGCATCATAAATTGCGTCAAACTAAGGAATCTATACTCATTTAGCCTCGCTGTTAGCGCGACGCTCCACTTATCGCGACACACCGGCTCGAAGCACGCCATGAATAAACAAACAGCTGGTCGGCAAGGCGCGGTGACGCGGCGCTCTGGGGACGCCGCGCCGCCGGCTGTCAGCGGCAGCCTGCACCGGGCGGGGCCGGGCGCTCCAAACACGCCCGGGGGTACCCTGCAGCGCTGCTGCCCCGCACCGCACGCCCACCGTCCTCTGACGGGTCCGTGGCGGACTGGACCCCGCCGCGTCCCGCCCGAGAGCGGTCACTCACCGGCGTTGAAGATCTTGATGAAGCTCAGCACGGACTCTTTGACCTCGTCGATGGTCTGGTAGCACGCCTTGTAGTGGTCGATGCGCTGCAGGAAGTCCTGCAGCGCCGTCTCCTTGTCACAGTCCAGGTAGTCCGGACTGGTCAGCTTGACCTCCTGTCGCAAGAGACGCAAACCGCTGTGAACGCCTCGATCGAAATCTAGGTTAACCATCACATACCAATGTGTATATATTACGCATACACCGCCGGCTTAAACGCTGAATAAACAGATCTGCCATCCATTTAACAAACAACTTTAGCGCCCAGCAAGCATTGACCTGTGACCCGTTTAGCACGGGAGATTTTTTAGCGCTCGACCTAACAAGTGCTTCAGGTCACCATCCACAGACGGTCAGGGAGGTCACGGTATGGAGGTCACTGGACACGGGTGGGTGTGGCTAACGGTCCCGTCAGTGGCGAGCACCCGTGTGCAACGACAGCCCAGCGCACACATCGCTAGTGGCGTCATGAACATTCCCAGGCAAAGCTAGCACTGTATTCAAATCAAAAAGTCATTATCGAAAAAGTCAGGCTGAAAAAAACACTCCCAAAAACAGCGGACTGGCTTATTATCTCCACAATGCATACCTCCTTACCCCCTCTTCGACAAAATGCCAGCGCAGCCACTTACCAGGATGTTGGACTCGACGATGAGGGGATTATCGCACACCGACTCGACAAAGAAGCACTTGTAGCCGAGCTTCTGGGTGCAGATGTCGAAGATCATGCGGCGCCGCTCAATCGTGGTGTTGGTGGCGTCGAATACCTGGCGGAACCGCGCACGCCGGTCAGCAAGGCCAACACGCCACGAGATGAGCCGACCGGACGGGCGCGAAGGTGCCAACGCGACAAAAGCACGCACAAACGTCGCACACGTCCGCCAGAATCATATCGGGACATTGCTGCGTGCTTGGACGCAGGAGAGCTGCTTACGCATCTGCTTGCCACGGAGCCCGATGGGGCCGCCGGACCACGCCCGTACCCAGGAGCTGACCCGGCACCCTGTGACCTGACCCGGCCTCGGCGCGCCCGGCGGCGGCGTCACTCACCGCCACCTCGCCGGTCTCGTCCAGCCAGTGGCGCACGTCCTCGAGCGCGTCCAGCGCGCACTTCATGCGGATCGCCATCGCCTCCTCGTTGTCGGGCCGGAAGAAGTCGTGGTTCTTGTACTGGGACGTGGCCTGACGCCGGTACTCGCCCACGTTGAACACTGCCGGCGTGAACGGTCGAGTCAGGCAGGAGCAAGGAAATGAAATGCTGGAAACGCTGACAACAAAATTCAATTACTCCGGCACGTAAAGTAAGAAATATCAATGGACCATAGCGAATTTTGAGCGCCATCCTACGTATGGAACATTTGGTCCGCTCCTCAAACACTCCTCATTGATTCCGGACACAACGTTAGCCTTTCCGGCCTGAAGCATGCCGACGCCAGCTTGACCGCAGCTGGTCTCCAGTTCCGAGCGGTCTGGCGCCGCTGGCCGGGCGGTGGGTTTCCCGCCCGTTCTCCGGCCTCCGCGTACGGCCTGCACTCGCTCCGCAACCGGGGGAGTCCCCGAGCCGGCCGGGCGTGGCGCCGTGACGGGCTTCGGCGGGCGTGGGTCGTTCCCCGCCCTGTCAGACCCTGTAGCGGCCCGCCCGCTGGTCACGGACGGCGTGCAGCGCTGCTGCACTCCTCCGCTAACGGGCGGTGACAGGACTCCTGTCCGGGCGTCGCCCTCAACGTCGCGTCCAGACACAAAGTCATCCCGCTATTTCGATGTCTTTGGACTGCTTCCCCGCGAAAATCAGGCTTCTCTAGCACGGTCCCTTGGTGAATGTGCCATCCGAGATGGAGACGCAAGACAAACATGCCTCTTTTGTTTTGTCATATCCCAAACCCGCGATGTGCATGTTAAACCTCCAGTTCTGGTTCCAACAAAGTGCGGAGAGACATGACAGAGCCCACAAGGACATCGCCACCGCAGCCTTATCGAAATGTGTGAGAGCGTGACAAAAGATCGCTGAGCATCGCACTGTATGTATGAGCTGTCTGCCTTTAATAGCATACGCTACCAGATATAAACTTAAAAACCTGCCTCAACGATAAGTGGGACGAATAGTGCGCGGGCGGATGCTGCAGCCCAGAAGACACGATGCGCTGGGCCTCGATTCGAGAAGTTGTGTTTGACACACAATATCGAGCGAGCCATAGAGAGTCTGCAGAAGCAATGGGTATGAGTGGCTGGCGTTTCCAGCCACATGCGTCACAAAATGACTGCAATGTTGTAATTGTCGGTGCAAGTCTCAGAAAGAGCAGCTCTGCACACAACTCTCGCTCACCCACACTCCATGTGGCGTCAGTGTTGCGCAAATGTCGGAGGCCATCCCCAAGCCACAGCTGTCCGCTCCTACTGCGCAGCTGCGGTTACTTCCTCCCCTGGGACAGCCGGCGCTTCCCGCGATAGGAGCGACGCGGCAGACCCGCGCCGCTGGCCGCCTGCAGACCGCTCGCGGACCACCCGCGGACCGCGCTCTAGCCGGAGGACCGGAGCCCGCTGGTTCCGCACACGCCTGACCGGACGACCTCGGCGTTTGTTGTGGTCGGGCCGTGACGCCAGCGACGAGCCCCTAGCCGGGCGGGACGGGGCGGCCGCCGCGCGCCCGGTTGCGTCGGGGCGCGAGCGGGACGGGGTCCACTCAGCAGCCAGCGGCTAGCTGGCCGCATCACAGCCACCTGCGCGAACTGGCCGTGCCAGCAGTGACGCACCGATGGCGTGCTCAGATTTCATCTTGCCCGTTGAGTGGAAATCCCTGGCGGCGTGATTCTGCATGGAATCAAAGCGGACTGTAATCCGTACTCGTACTTTCGAGCTCAGAACTGCACCTGGTTTAAGCCTTAGATAGTACTGATCCGCCTGTGACCTTATCTGCGGACCAGTTCTGCCGCCTCGCTTCTTGCAACAAGGCGTCTGCCACTCTTTGCACGCCGCGGCAGCCAGCGCAATGGAATGTGGACGAGAACGAATATGACTTTCCAGCAATTGTGGGGTTCCCTCGTCCTCGCGGCGGAGATTTTATCAGCTCTTCAGTGCCGCACTAAACAGCGCTATGCTTCCCCGGCGGTCGAAAGGTACAACATTAACCCCGACCAAAAAAGTTGTCCGATTGTATTTCCCTTACAATAAAACCTTAGTACAAACCCCAACGAGTCAAAAAGGCTGTACGGCTCATGTTTTTGCGCTTTGTCTTCAGCCGAGTCACGTTGCAGGCAAAAAGACGACGGCTTCTATCAAGGGCATGGTGAGCCCCAAAATTCGGCAATTTCTTGGGGTAGGGAGCAAACTTTTGGCCATGAGACGAACACCAACTTGTTTGAAACACGATATCGTAATGTTCTACGCGTTTCATTTGAAAACGATTTTTGGCGGCCCAATGCGTTTAAACGCGGTGAGACGCAGCGAGTTTCGAGTTAAGTTTCCAGTTCAAGTTCGAGTTCGATGGTTTTTCGTGTTTCGAGCTCCCAAACGAGCGCGTGAGACGGCAGCTTCACCCACCTTTCGTCTTGATGCCGGTCCAGTTGAGGTACCTGGCCAGCTTGCGTGCCATGTATGTCTTGCCGCGTGCCGGCAGGCCGACCGTCACCACCACGTGCGGCACGTGCACGCTCTTGGTTCGCTCGCCTGGCGACAAACAGGGCGCGGTGTCAACCGGCGCCACGAGCGCGCGCGGCCCGTGACGTCACGCCCCGCCAGCGCGCGCCACCGGCCAGGCCCATCACACGTGGTCTTGTCATAGGTCACGGTCAGCGAGAGCGATGCGGCAGAAAGGGACCAGCACACCATACGACAGCGGAGGGCGAACAAGCTCGTGCGGCGACGGGGGCAAACATCAAACGCCTGTCGAAATTTGCAGCACGAAAAATATGCTTTGCAAGCACGTATATTCTGAAATATACAGGGGTAGCATATCTAAAGCCGCTGCGAGAACAAAGCAAACTTGCGCCACCGTGCCAATAATCTTTAAATGTGATTAGTACATTTCACTGGAGGTTAGTTACGTCAGCGATGGGATTTCAACAGCGTGCGACGAGCGTCGTAGGTTCAGCCACTGTCTCGCAAGAGGTCAGAGTCCAGCCAGTCACCCACGCTTCATCAATGGGGCTAACCACCGTATCAGAGCTCCGCTCGGTAAGTCTTTGTGGCACGTCTATTGCAACGCAACCTGATCACGTCCGCACCCGTGGTACAACCAATAAATGCTGGACAACTTTGGATGTCCGTTCCGCTTGGACAACCCTTGGACGGTGGGTCGGTAAAGACTTTGATTAATCGGTCCTCTGGTCCCAAGGCTGTCCCCACCAAACATCCCGCGTACATTCATAACATAAGCAACGGGTTTGAGCGGCCATGGCCAGGCCATCTAAACAGACGACTTATCATGTTTCCTGAATCTCGCTGAAGTGACGCACGTGCCGCAGTTGACCCTGGGCCGCAGTTTGCCCCAGTCGCAGACAACCCCACACGAACATGAACTGCGTCTGCATCCCCCGGCCAAGCCGATCCGATCGCGGCTCCATTTCCCGGTGACTGGTGTTTGTTGCCTCAGGCAACGCGCCAGGTCAGGCTGAAGTCATGGAGCCAGCGTCTGGCCCGGCTCCTGCCGACCCCACGGTCTCCGCCGCCCTCCAGGCTGCGTGCCGGACCGTCCCACCACCACCACGGACCACACCCGCGTGGGTTCGGCGGGCCCGAGCGTCCACGCCTGCCAGCGGAGCGACGCCAGGGTCTCGCCACTTAAACACCCACCATCTCGGCTAATCGGCTTCACCTTGGGCCGGATGTTTGCGCCCTTCCGTTTCCGCGTGTCTGGCCCGGGGCAAAAGGCGGCGCTCGGTAATAGCGCCGCCACCGACGCCGGCCTTCGCCGCTGCCCGCGGACGGAGCCACTGCCCGGGGCGCTTCCGCCCTGCGGACGCCCAGTACCTCCTAAGGCACCTCCAGTACCTCCTCAGCTTCAGCTCCCAGACAAGGCACGCCCTGGGCGTCGAGGGGGGCGCGGATGACACGGGCGGTCGGCCGAAGGGACCGGTCCGGTCGGAGCACGCTTTCTCAACCGGCGCCGTATTGATCAGTCCGCCGAGGCATTGGCCCGCCTTCCAGGAAAGCAAACAGGCCTCTGGAACGCCGGCGACAACAGCTGGAGCCCTCGCGTGCACATCACACGCCCGTAATGTCCGGCAATCAACACACCGCCGCTTCGCCAGAATCAATAGCCGATAGCGATCCCGACCCGTCCACGGAGGCGGGGCAACCGCCCGCAAAAACAGGGCGGAACAACCCCGAGGGGAAACGGCGGGCGTGTGACAAACATGCAGGCCGCAGGGTTGGCTTAATATGACCTTGTGGCGGATCGAAGGTCAGAACAGGAACCCAAACACCTTGGAGAGAACAGACAGTGGGAACTGGAGCGTTTCGGGGAATGCCATACGCTTCGACGAGGCACGCCGATCATGGAGCTGTATTGGCAACTGTGAAACAATGCACGTGGCAAATGCAGCACGGTGATTAATGTCTTCATGTAGCACTGTCACATGGACTGCAAAAGTTGTTCTCCACTTTCAGCCAAATTTGATCAGACTACGAAAGCTCCAGGACCTTAAATGGCGGGCTTCGTCCAGCCAGGATCCAATCCCGGTAAATGGCCTTCAGGCGAGATGGAAAAACGTGTGGTATGCATCGCTTACAACATAGTGTTTAATTATTCCCACATCCAGTGGGGTGCTTGGCTCGTGCCCTCCACGAAGCAGCACCACCCCGAGGAGGACTAAACCGCCACCACCGCCAATCACATTCGAATCTGCCATGGCCACCAGCGTGTCCCGCAGTACACCATCCCACAACACAAACAAGCAGGCCTGGCCTGGCCCGGCCCCGCTGACCGGCTCCCGTCCGGCCCAGCAACAGCGTCGCAGCCGGGCCGCGCGCGGCCGGGGTTTGACCGCCCACCCGACCCGGTCGCGAGCAATAACAGACGCTATGTGACCGTGCAGTCGGGGCGGCCTCAAGTCCCGAGCAATAACGAGCAAAAACGACTAACTTAGCCAGCGGCGGATGTGGGCGGCGGACCGGGTCTGTCGCCCACCCCCCATCGCGCACACGCACGCGGCCGAGCCTCCTTACCAGGCTGGATGTCGGGCAGGTTGCGGTGGCGCATGAACGGGTGCGCCTGCATCACTTCGTCGGCGGAGCGGGCGCGGCCGCACGCGCGCGGCGCCTTGCCGTCGCTGATGACCGGCGGCATGACGGCAGAGGCAATTCCCCTCGGACGGCGAGGCTCGCTTCTTCTGAGTCTTCCCCGGCAGCGAACCTCGTCACTCTGCGGATGTGTTCTCTCCCTCAGGCCGTCTCTCGTGAGTCGCGCAGTGCCCTGGCTCTGGGCGAGTGGCCTCCACCGGCGCCTCTGCCCTCCGTCCGAGCGTCCGCCTGGTGCCGGCGCGTGCGGCAGTGCTGCCCCGCCGATGTACCGTCCACGACTGGCTGCCGGCGGCCGGCGGCGCCGCGGCTGACCCTGCAGCCGGCGCGGGAGGCGGGCGGCCGCGCGGCCGGAGTTTCCCAGTGACGCGGGCGCCGAGGACGACCGGCCGCACCACACGCCACCGACCGCTGCCGGCGCTCGCCGCACAGCGCCGCTCGCTCCACCCGGCCGCCCTCCACCGTCCGGGGACACGCGGCCCCTCCGAAGGCGCACACGCCCCCTGGCCGCGGCGCCGGCGCTGGAGCGTCAGGACGCGGCCGCCGGTCGGTGACGCTACTTCCGCCGGTCTCGGCGCCGAGAGCGACCGACGCGGCCGACGGCCGTGTCGAAACGCGCCGGAGAAACTAGCCGCCTCACCTGCGGGGAGCGGGTTCGGTGACGGGGTGCTGCCGGCAGCCGCCGCCGAGGCCGGTACCCGGGGAACACCGCCGGCCGGACTTCCCAGTGCCACTGCTCGCCTGCAGCGACCACCGGAAAGCCGAGGTTTGGGAGGTCCGCAGACGGCGCGCCGAAGAACGGCCGACACGCGGACGGTCTTAAGATAGATTTGCTGCCGTTTAATTCCGGCCCGCTAAACGTAATCGCGAATAACAGCAATTTAGAGGCAGTGCTCAGGGCCCAATGGCCGCTGACGTTCTGCGCTTGGCAATGCAGCGGATTTAGGTACCGAATTGGGCTGGAAAGAATGACAATGGATTTACGCGAACTGTGCGGACTATTGTCGCAGGCATAAAACGTACTTATTTTGACCAATTACAACCGAATCCACGCAAAGAGACAACGAAAGCACTCCCAGTTGGTATAGAGCCATGAGAATCAACGTTTCTCCGAAAATGGCCCAGTTGATCGTGGGCAATATCTTTGTCATTGGCGCCGGTTGGGTGTATTCAACTTTGCTATTGCTGAGGGGTGGGCGCATCCAACTTTGTTATTGCCGTGGAGTGGGTGTATTCAACGAAGTAGCCGACTTTCGTGGCACATTTTGCAACAATAACGCGGGGAGTTGAGTGACTGTGCATGGCTGCAGCCCCTTGTTTGCTTGGCCTTTGTTTGGTGTATTTGAGTTGTCACGTAACACGGGCTTACCGGGGCGTCACCCCGTTACGGACGGAGGACTTAAACACCCCGGCTCGTTAACTTAATGAAGAAGCTGCTGTCTAAGGGACAACACTCATTTACGCTGCGACCAACAACAAAAACAGCATACCACAAACAGAGTTGGCCTCTAGCTGATTCAGAGGTCACAGTGAGGGGCGCAGGTGACGCACGCACTGCGACGGGCCACCGCTTCCCAAGGGTAACGAGGCTCCGCCCATGTCAGCCCCTGCCGTCGCTCGGCGGCGCGTGACTCATTGTCAAGTGACCTACAGAGGCCGGCGTGCGAGCCCGGCGGAGCCGCCGGCGCGCGGCGGGATCGATACAGGCCGACCGGCCCGGCCGCTCTTGAAAACGACGCCAAGTGGCGCCCAGGCCGGTATGTGGGGCGCGTGGGGCACGGCCGCCAGCGGCACGACCCCGCCCGCTCAGCTCCGGTGCACAGCGCGGAGGCCGACCGGGACAGGCGTCTGCAGATGGCCGGCCAGCCGGAGCCGGCGCGAGGGCGGCGCACCGGACCGCCCGAGCAAAACACGGAGTCGGCCGACCGCTCCACCGTATCACGGTCATACCCCGCGCGCACGCGCCGGATCTGAATGGGTCAGGGCCTCTGAACGCATCCGCGCCCGGGACCCGGTAGCGACAAAAACTCGCTCGGCCCGTGGCACCAAACCACGGCGCTCCGGGTGTTCCGGACGGGCCCGAGCGGGGGGACGGCGGCCCCACCAGCAGCACCCTTCCCCCTCCCCTCACAACTTCACCACACCAACACTGTCCAGCACCACTCGCACCTCCCTCGTGGCCGCCCACCGTCTTCTGCGCGCCCACCCTCGTTTTTTCCGCCCGGCCCGCGACCCGGCCGACGGCGGGCTCAAAGGCGCCGCAAGGTCACGGCGTCGGCAGCGCGCAGGCGCCGCCGGCACACACCCTCGCCGCCGACCAATGAGCGGCCGTGCCAGGGTGACGCTGCAGCCGAATAACACGGCGGCCATGCCGGCGGCCCTGTGTTGCATCAGCAGGCGGTGGCATCGCGCTCGAGTCCCGGCCCTCG